GATGGGAGCCAAAGAAGAAAAAGGTATGGCTACTTTTGAAAACTCTCTGGCAGTATCTAGTGCAGTTGAGGGTGCACCTACCCCAGTATCCAGCAATTCACCTTTTAGAAACACACCTATGGGAAGTATCTGCAATTGTGCTGCAGGAGACCTAAGTGGGATTAGACACAGCAGTACTGTTTGTAATAATCCAAACTGGAACCTAAATATTCGCCACCTTTAGAAGGTATAAATACATTTTTGTAGTCATATAAGACTATTATACAGCAATGAGCATAAATGAACTACAGCAACATCCAATGTCACAAACAAATCTCACAAACATGTTGGGGGAAGCCAGAGGCAAAATGTTATGACTTTGAACTTCTGTTAAGTTCACCATCAGGCAGAATGAAACTGTGATGTTGAAGAATGCACACCCAGGGTCTGAGCATGGTGTCTCACGCCTATAATCCCATCACTTTGGGAGGCTGAAGCAAGAGGACAGCCTCAGGCCAGGCTTTCAAGACCAGCCTGGGCAACAAAGTGAGACCCCCCATCTCTACAAAAAGTATTAATAGAAAAACTAGCCAGGCTTGGTAGCGCATTTTTGTAGTCCCAGCTGCTTGGGAGGCTGAGCCAAGAGGATGGCTTGAGCCTGGGAGTTGGAGGCCGCCGTGAGCTATAATGATGCCCCTGCACTCCAGTCTGGGCCACAGAGAGAGACCCTGTCTTGAAGGAAAAAAAAAACAACAAAAACACCAAACAGTGCCTTGGTCCAAGATGGCGGACGAAGCCACTCGGCGTGTGGTGTCCGAGATCCCGGTGCTGAAGACTAACGCTGGACCCCGAGATCGAGAGTTGTGGGTGCAGCGACTGAAAGAGGAATATCAATCTCTTATCCGGTATGTGGAGAACAACAAGAATGCAGACAATGACTGGTTCTGACTGGAGTCCAACAAGGAAGGGACTCGGTGGTTTGGAAAATGCTGGTACATCCATGACCTCCTCAAATATGAGTTTGACATCGAGTTTGACATTCCTGTCACATATCCTTTCTGGTTTCTGGAGATAACCCAATAAAAGCTGCTTCCTCTGCTAAAAAAAAAAAAAAAAAAAAAACCAAACAAACCAAAACAACAACAAAAACACCTAGTAGTAAAATATAAGGAAAACAAAGTATTTACCGTGTAAGTCCGGACAGTGGTTCTCTTTGGTTGGGAGGGAAGACTGTGATTAGTAAGGGCCGTCCGAGGCAGGGCGGGGGGCCGCTGTGCACTCAGAAAGTTTATTCTGATGACGATGACTAGCTCTGTCCAGTGTTTTAAAAGATCTCAAAAACCAAAGCCCATCATACCCCAGGGCTTTCCTTACTTCAGGCAAAAATGACAGCTACCACCTCTGTGAGGCTTTATGTAATCTACGTACCAGCACTCAGCCTCCTGGTTAACAACACCACGAGGAATCGCCATCAAGCCCAATTTGTAGCTGTCACTCCAGAAAGAAAAGCCATGGGCCTGTGTTGCATTACGTGACCACACCCTGTAACAAACCCACCCTGTCCACCGACAGGGATTTAGTAACAGACGGGCTGTTTTTGTTCTGAGGGCTGCAGTGTGTAAGCGGATGACCATGCCCAAGAAACCCAGACATTTGCCAACATTAAAAATGGTACTCTAAATGATACTTTGTTTGCAGAAATGTCCACTTGAATTTTTGGATTTCCTGAAGGTCACGTCAAAGGTAAGAAGTAAAGCTCTTCCCCTCCAGCTGGCCAGCATGATCCTCTGCACACACTGTTCTGCCAGCAAGGGCGGCTGGTTTTTGTTTCTCCTTTCACTATTCCTTTCAGATGGCATCGTCACCGACCCGCACCTCGCACATTATGAAAAGGCTGGAGGAAGGAACACGACGAGAAGGCGCCACGCACTGCCCAGGCTGTAATGTGGGGAATCTGAAATAATAATTTTCACCTAAAGAGAACTGTCAGCCTAGGACTCTGGTGTTCAGTGAATGCAGACAGCTGTCACCGTGCTACGACGCAAGCTAGGCGCCACCTGAGATGCCCAGAGAGGCTTTAGAACGTGAGTCTTGGTGCTCTGGTTACTGATGTGTGACAAGAGGTGCCAACGCTGGCAGACTAGGGTTCTCAGCAACACGCACATTAGTCAGGCGTGCTATTTCCCTCCCACGTCCACTCGTCTGATAGACTGGAAAGGCCATAGGGTGGACAGACAGTAAAGAAATGGTAGCGCCTCTCTCCTCAGAGGAGCTCATTCTTGAGTTGCTATGAATGGAATTATATAATTAATTCAAATTATACTTACATGTAATATATAGTGGGGGGTGTTGACACCCAAAAAAGCCTGCAATACATGCTTTGGTCATATTGTCTCCTTTACAGAAAAAAACAAATTCACTTAAAGCAGGTAGGCACGGATATCTGAGACAATCCACTAATTGCACAGTACATGTGCAAATATTATTGTCCAAATAAATTATAGTTACTTGAGCAAGGGACTCACGCTTCCTTTTCTGGAGAGGACATGACTATAGTATCAGAACGAGCATCTGCTACAGGTAATGTCACGGACGGTCCCTAAACTCCTCCCTCAGTGCGAAAGGGCAGATAAAGTGTGGAGGCCATCACACTTTGTACCTGCCTCACCCCTTACCACAAGAAACTAAGATCAATTTCCTAAAGCTAGTTCTCATTTTCTGGAATCTGCCTTACATCCAAAATTCTAAATGATGAGAGGCAAGCACGACTCACAGGAAATATTAATACCAAAAAGTGTCATCAATGTTCAGGACCTTATAAATCGTGGCAAAAGGAGAATGACAAATCTTCCTAGGTTACACAATCAGGTAAAATGAAATTAGAAAAAAAAAAATCACAATGCTCCCCCTTAAAAACATTTGAGTTATATTATAAAAATACTCCTCTAATTTATTACAAGTCTAGAAGTTATTGCAACTGCATTTTTTTTTTAGTTGGGTGAGTTACAATCCCTTTCATACAGAGTTCCTTAAAAATTCAAAGTGAGGTTATCATACCTCTTTAAATGGTTTTTGGAAAACCATCTATTTGCTGACATTTAAACATACACATGAATGAAAACTGAAATTTCAAAGGCCACGAACCTGTATTTGCTATGATAATAAAGCGGAATATGAAAAGGCTAACACTCATAGGGCTGTGTGGAATAAGAACTAAAGAATTTGAAATATTTGGAAGGGAGAAAAATTCCACATGCAAGACAGACATCCAAAATGGCTCAACATAATTTATTTTTATGTTAAAATGTACAGAGTTCTTTTGAAAGTACTTGCTAGAAAGGGGGAAAAAAAGATATTACATCCAAGTAGAGGAAGGGAGGCCAACTGGCCCAGGAGCGCATGGCACAGGGAAGTGTAAAGGCATCTAGGCACCCCTTCCCCGCAGCTTACAAGTCACCAGGAACCAAGTACAAAGAGGTTACAAAACAGGAAAAGCAAATATAAACAGACAGGAATAGACTTAGCTTCATTTGTACATGCGGCTTTTAGAGGCATCTGGAGCTCTATTCACACACTCTAGAGATCTCTTTAAAGAGAATTTTTATCTTTCTTAAAATAGTTTTCAATATTCTACAACAAAGATAAAAAATTTTAAAGATGGAATGAAATGAAAAAGCTCTTATTTTAAAAGGCATCAAAGTCACTAACAGTGAGTTTTTAAATTTCTTTTTTAGAAGATTACCCAAGTTATCTTGCTAAAAATACATTTTTTTAAAACAGAAGTGAAAAAATGACAGGTACCAATATTACTGTGTTGGATAATTTCTTTTATAATATAGAAAAGAACATTTTTTTTTTCTACAATAGTTCTACAGTCACAAAGAGGCTTGTGGAAAAGGGAGCTGCCCGATTGAAATTTTTTTTTTTAAAGAAACAAACAAAACCAAAGACAACCGCAAACCAACAGAAACTGAATTCACGGCCCTCATTTCAACAGCTTCTCCTTCTGCCTTGACCCACCCTCCTCCCAATATACCTCCCTCCCGCCCCCCTCCCCACCCCAACCAGGAAGCAATGATGCAGCTGCAGATGTAGGGAGAGGGCAGCACAGTGCACGTTCTACACAGATGACTGGGAGCTGCAACGGTATATACAGAGACTGGGTCCTACACAGCCTTGCACATGCTCAGAGTGGATAGTGGTTAAGACGTGGAATTCTGCCTTTTTCTATCTAACACAATTGACAAAGTCAATTTAAAGTGTATAAAAAAACCAACAAACCTGTGCATTTGAAAAAATTTAATGCCTAATTAGTACTTTAAAAATTTATCTATATAAAATGTACAAATAAAGGAGAGAATTTAATGCTTACAGTTATTTCTTTAAGCAGTACTCCCCCCTTTTGGATATTTGACTGCACATACCAAGTGGTATAATAGTTTCCATCTTCTAATGATGGAATATATATATATATATTTTTACCTATCCCTGGAGTAAGTAATAAAAAGAGAATGGGCGAACTGGCTGCACAAGAGAAGAGAATGGAGTTGGGAGCAACATGTGAACCTGCTGAATTCCCGCCGTCCAGGTTTGCCCTACTATGCTGGTGGTAAGTCTGTCCCTCTTCTTATTAGCCACTTGCAGAGAGGGGCTTGTGCGCTCGGATTCACAGGGGATGAACTCAGTATCTCAAAAAACAAAATCAGAACTAGAGGTATGTATCAATAAGTAGCTATGAAATTCACACCATAATCTCCCTTCCGACACAGACTCTGCGTCATCTCTTCCAGCATAAACAGTGTCAAAGGTTTGTCAGGTATTTTTTAAATCACTGAAATGTACAGTCATCCACCAACACTTTCCGAAAGAATGTAAGAGGCAAATCACTGGGGACTGCTACTTGAGTTTTGTTAAGAGTCAAAGGCTCAGGAGAGCCTTGAGAGATCAAGACCCTTAGCATTTCAAAGTACACACTGAGAACAGAGGCCGGTGGTGTATGTGTGCTATGGCTGATTCCCCAGGTGGTAAAAAACAAGAGGTCAATTTCCCCTTCTTGATTGTTAACTGGCCGTCTCTATTCCTCCAAAGGCTGGATTAGGGTTGCAAAGAGCTTTCCTCTGAGATTCTGCTGTTGAGACTTACAGTATTTTTGTGTCTCTGAGTGCTGAGTGGGAATATTTAAAAAAAGAAGAAGAAAAAAATTATATTACACTTGATTCAAGAAAAACAAAGATTTCAATTAAGTCCGTTTATAAAGAAACATTCTTAGGGAAAGGTTTCAAGAGGTGTGTGTGTGGGGGGTAGGGAGTGGAGGGGATTTTAAAAGGAGAAGCACATTCCTGCCTCATTTTATTAATAATAATAATAATATTAACAATAATAATAAGTTTAAGGAGCTTGGGTTGTTCTCCATGTCCCCATCCGAGTCTCCCCTAAGTGCCTCCTGCTGGAATGAAGTAGGAAATGAAAGGTTGGGTTTGGAGGAAAGGGTCTGGTTAACCCTTGAGATGTATATATAACATTTAAAAATGACAACATTGGGAGCTGCAAACAGTGAGGGGAAACATACATTTTAAAATAAAGTAATTCACTTTTACACAAATTCTGTCCATGTGGTATGTAAAGAAAGTAAGGCTCTTTTAATTATGAAAAGATTTTGTGCATGTTTCCCCTATCCCCAAATCCTTTTTAGATGAGTTCTACTGTAAAATGTTCAAGATTGTGAAGAAAACCAAAACCCAGAACAAAATGAACCCAAAAAAAGAGATCAGACTTACTAAAAAATAAAAATAAACCAAAGAAAAATTCCTCTAAATCTACAGCAATATTTTAACTGGAAAAAAGGTCCATTTTTCTCTGGTTTGTCAGTATAAAAGGTTCCTTTATTTATATATATTTAAGTTTTTAACTGCGAGTTCCTCTTGCTCATCTTCGCATGTAAGGTCCGTTGAGCGACTGCTTGGGTACGCCGGCGGCATTCATGTAGCTGTGGTGGGAGGGGCCCGTGTACATCATGTTCCCGTGCGGGTTTGGCTGCATAGGCTGCTGGGCATAGGCCTGGCCCCCCATCATCCCCATCTGCATCTGCATAGGATACTGTGCTGTCTGGTTCATGTAGGCAGGGTTGCTATGGTAACTGCTGTTCATCATGGGCTGTGTCATTCGATAGCTGTTCATGGCATTCAAGGTGTTCATATTCATGGAATTGACATTATAGGCAGGAGTTGGCATTAAATTAACCCCCATGTTCATGCCACGCTGAACAGCCAGTGCCCGAGGGCCGGCCTGCATGGCAACTGCGGACGGGCTGCGGCCGTACAGCTGCTGCTGGTGGGCGGCCGCAGAGGGCAGTGGTGCAGATTTGGAGCGGATGGAAATGTGCCCCTTAACTGGCATCTGCCCTTGCAACCTCTGAGTGTGAGGAATGCCAATGTTGGTGGCAGACATGTTGCACTGGAGAAGAGGTGACGTGAGGTTCATGGTAGTGGATGCCAAGTTTGGGGGCGGTGTCATGGTGGCTTGTGCTTGAGGAGCCCCAGCTAATGGATGGGACGGAGCCAGCTGAGCCAGCCCTGTATTGGACAGAGAAACACTGGTTGCATAGGAAGTCGCAGCAGGGGAATGGCTATAAGGCATGGCGTGAGGGTCCATGATGGTGTTCGTCAGCTGCTGCAGCTTGGCGAGGCTGAAGGTAGCTGACGGCTGAGAGTAGCTGCCGGCCCCAAAATCCCCTGGAATCCTCTCATAGATACTTATGTTCCCAGTGCCTCCAGATTCTGGTATCTCCATGATCATAGGAGCTGGAGTGAAACTGTTATTCATACTGCACTGTGACAGGGGTGGCTGCTGCTGGGGCGGGGGCGGGGGCTGTGGCTGTGGGGGCTGGGGCTGAGGCTGTGGGGGCTGGGGCTGCTGCTGGGGTGGTGGCGGCTGTGGTGCTGGCGCCTGCTGCTGCTGCTGCTGCTGCTGGGGTGGTGGCGGTGGTGGCGGCTGCTGCTGGTTACTGGGAGGCCTCTCCACCACGCAACTCTGAGGTGACTTGATATTGCAGTTTGCAGCAGGCTGGACGCTGTTCTGCTGCATCATGCTGCAGCTGTTGCCCACGCTGGCCATGGGCTGGGTGACCACACAGCTGTTCTGGGTGAGGCTGCTGGAGGACGACAGCCCACCATAGGAGCAGCTGCTCTGGGAAGAGTTATTCCCACAGATGCTGCCACCCATCGTGGAGTCGTAACTGCTGGGGTTCTCGTAGTTTTCTGTGGTGCTCTCGATGCTGCCCAGATCACTGAAGCCGCTGTCCACCACCTGCTGAGAGTGGTCTGATACGGAAGGCACATCCATCATGGGGCTGGTCTCCATGTTCTGCATAGAGGGTGCGGACAGGGATCCTTGTTCCGGGCTGATCTGGGTGTAACCACTCTCAAGGGCAGGCACGTTGGGACTGCTGACCGAACGGACTGACTGGCTGGGATGAGACTGAACAGAGGAGATTGGGCTGTTATGTTCTGAAGCATGACAGTCTTCAACCATGGACATCTGAGGGTCTTCGTCAGCCTGGGTGTAGCTCTGCAGGGTCTGACAAGCCGCGAGAGTTTCTTCACAGTCCTGGTAGGCGCCCTCGTGCTCATTGCTTTCTTCTTGAGTCAAAGACTGCACTGCTTGAACAGTTTCCAGATCCAGTTCACTATGAGGAATCTCCTCTTCCTCTTTTAATTCAATTAAGTCTTCCTTAGTGTGCGACTCTTCTTCATGGTCATCCTCAGACCCCGGCATGTGCTCTGACACCACCGATGTCTCGTGGGAAGGCTGCTCCTCTTCAGAGTCTGGCTCTGTTTCATCTTTATCCTTTGTATTCTCCCTGTTCTGCAGGTTAGTACCTAAAAAAGACTCCTGGCCACGGGGCTCCTCCTTGACATCTTCCCCGACAGGCTGCTCCCCCAGCCCCGCTGTCTGTGTCGGCTCCAGATGGCCGTCGTCTTCATCATCTGCATCATGGTCTTCATTCTGGTTTGTCTCTGCAGTTGCTTCATCTTCTTCCTCTTGCTCCTGTTCTCCCAATTCTTGCTGCTCTTCCTCTGTCTGCCTCTGCTCTCCTGAGAGGCGGGGTTTTTCTTCCTCCTCCTCCACCTCAGGCTCTTTAGTTTCGGTCTCGGGACTATTGCTGCTGTCCACTGGAGAAGCCGCTCTGACCTCACTGCTGCCTGTATCCTCTTCCTCTCCCTCGTCAGCTTCTTCTGCTTCCACGTGCATCTCCTCTTCCTTCCTTCCTTCGCATAAGGGCAAGTCTTCCTTGGGTTCAGCAGTTTCTTCACTCTCTTGAATCTCGGGTTTACGTCCAGATTTGGGAGTGGGGGCAATGGGCCCAACAACGCACTCTTGGGTACAAATGGGCACGATTTCCCGGTTCAGCCTAAACCCTGGTTTTCGCCCAGGTCTTTTCTTCCAATGGGTTGGTTTACGGCTCTTGCCTTTGGGCCACCCCTTTTTCTTTTTCATAGGTGTGGATGTATCTGGCTCAAGTGGAGAATGCTTCACATCACATTTTCTTAAGAGAGATACTGGCTTTAGGACAGGAGTGTCTATACAGGAAGGATAAAAAATAATAAAGACAGGTTAAAAGATCTTATATTTTCTAGTACTGCCCTCTGAGAGCAGCATGTACCACAGAAATGATTTTATTAATCATCACTTTTATTAACTCCTGATTATCTTCACTTTAAACGTTAAGAACCTAATGGATAAACCTAATTAATGACATCTTTTAAAGACATGCAGTGAACTGGCGGAAAGAATCTTGGTTAACATTATGTTACCAGACATTAGTTAAAACCAGTTCAAGTTCATCATTGCCAGCTGTATAGCTTTGGAAAGCTATTCTAAGTTTCAGTTTCATCATCTATAATATGGAGATGAGCTTTATAAAGATAATAAAATAGTAAGTAGTGCTTTTATCAAGTTATCGCTACTGAAAGTTACAAATCAGCTTATTCCCCCCCCCCATTTGGGATGTATGGTCTCCGATTTTCTTAGTTTCCTCAAAATCATTACTTTAGCAGTGTCATGAGCCTACTGCTCTAGGCCACAAACGAGCCATCCTGTGTGAGCAACTGCCCCACCAATGTGTCTGCATGGAACAACTGCAAGGCATTTAGTCCTAGACAAATAAGAAAACAGTTAAAGCACCAAGGATGTTTATTAGAAATAAATTTGATATTAGAATTATTTTGTCCCCATTATTTTTTTAATTGTGGTAAAATATACACAACATAAAACTTACAATTTTAACCATTTTTAAGTGTACACTGGCATTAAGTACATTTACAATCCCCATTAATCTTTTTTTTTCCAGCATATTATGGGGGTACAAATGTTAAGGTTACGTATATTGCCCTTGTCCTCCCTTGCCCCATCCCCAATAATTTTTAAAGGATAAGAACACTAAGGTGAGAACAAGATTGGGGGGAGGACTAAAAAGGCAGTAGGTAATAGTAGTAGTAATAACTACTACTACTAAAAAGGTAGTAGTAATAACTTGAAATTCAACAAAGGAAACAGCTGTATCACAGAAAATCTGTCCAAGTCAACAGCAGGGGATACTATTTTAGTGTATAATTATCCAAGACAGAATGTAAAATGCCAAATTCACAAAATAAATTTTTAATTTATTAGTTATATATCTAAAAATATAATATGAGTAAAACCTTGGAGAATTATTCACACTAAACCAAAGAATTCAGTCATCTTATCACTGTATTAAAAGTATTTGTTACATAAAAAGGTGAGAATGGAAAACATGCAAGTCATCTGATATACTTGAAATCAAGTGAATTTATTTAACTAGTTAATACATAAAAGCTAAAAGTCTATGTACCAAGGGTAGACAACTAGACTTCCTCAAATTTACATAGCAAAGTGAAAAAAGCTCATTTGGAGCCCATGAAAGACAAACGTACTACAAATGCAGGCAGCATGAACAATCTGCAACAACTTCAGGTTAGGATAAATAAGACTAGTTTTTGACGTGGCTCATCTACATGAGTCCTAGTTTTTCTGTCTTTAAAGAGGAAATGACAACAAGGCTATTTTAAAGTAAATAATTAAATTTTTATCTACACCATAAAATTTAACTTATTTTGAGTTACTGTTACTATTTATTAAAAACTCTACTACTAGTTGGATAAGACATATTAGATGTGATTCTGGAAGGATTCCTCAACTGATCTGAACCAAGTTCCACTTTATACGAATCTGTTCTTACTGAAGAAGTGCCTCTTAGCGCTCCTCATGGAACAGCACTTACCGAGGGCTTGTCCTGAGCACTAACACACGGCAATGAACTGAAGAGGCCACGTCTAGGGAGCGCACGGTCTAATGCAGCGTTGTCACGTCTTCCTGACACTAACTTCAGCCATTAACTAAAGATTTTGATACAGGCTGGGAAAAACTTAGGCAAAAAAGAACAGTTTCCTAACACTAAGATATTTTCTCCACAGGCTATTTTCCCCTGAGTTGAATGGGAAACATGAAAAAATGGGGATGGATATACTTGATACAACTTTTTAGCAATTGCCAGGCCTTCCTTTTTTTTGCTTAGTTGGTTGTGTTCATTTTTTAGCCTTTTTGCTGAAGGGTCTGTTGCTGTAAGTGTTGTACACTTAAACACCATAAAACCACAATAAGTAAGCTCTGTACAACATACCATCAGCATCATCTGATTCTTCATCTTCTTCTTCATCTTTAGACTTCCTCTTAGAAGAGGATCGACACCTGAGAACGTCCTGCGAGGACAAACGATGGAAGTATCCTCTAGGGAAGAGTTCACTTTCATCTTCTTCCTCCTCTTCCTCATCTATCTCAAACGTGGGTTCCAATCTTGGCATTGGCCTCTCAGAGTCAGAGTCTTCAAAAGGTTCATCTAATACCTCTGTAGTCTCAGAAATGGTTTCCGTGACTACACTGCTATTGTGGTGTTTGCGCTTTCGGACTCTCCTTCTTCGGTGAAGAATTGGCTTCTATTTAATAGAGAAAGCAAGTATTTTATTTATGGTAATGAATGCTATCTTTTCTGTTAATAACATGAGAACAGTTTTAAAACCTAATAGAATTAGCACATATAAAGTGAGGACATTGTTTGCCAAAAGACATTTTGAAAGTTATTTCAAAATACTATAGTAGGACACTATACATAAAGTATTATGGACACAAAGGTGTTGGATACTTCAATATAACTTTGTAAGAAAAAAAGAAAAACAGACAGGCATGTCCACATAGCAGATATTATGATTCTCTTGTTAACAGTTCAGTTAAATTTAACACCCAAGGGAGGTGCTTATTTTGATATTGAAATGACACAGAGACTAGCCCCTTAAACTTGTCTTTTCTTTAAACACTTTGGGACCAGCATCGATTGTACTCGACAGGCACAGATGAATGCGCACAGCCCAGTGTCAACTATAGTTAACAGCCACAGATGAACACACACAGCGACTTTAGCTGACAGCCGTGATATGACTTTTCTAATTTTTCATTTATCAAAATAAAATTGTGAACATTTAAAAATAATGTAATGAAAACATATATGTTTATGTTACCTATTCTGATTTACATTACAAGTAAAGCTGCCTGTAAAGTAAAACAAGCTTTCAGTGCTTTAAAGCTTTCCTCATCACACAAGAACAAAACGGATTCATCGTCAATGCACAGCACAAGCTATCGGGCAGACTATGAGTGCCAGCTGTGGGCAAGGTTTCATGGCTGGTGAGCGCGGTCTTGAAGTGGTTAAGAGCAAAAAAGGATTAAAAACACTTGATTTGCCTGATAGCAATACTCCGAAGCTTAGCAGAACTATCCAAGCTGTATGCCATTTTTATAAGCCATCCATACAAAGTTACAGTGGAATGCAGAGATACGGAGCTGGAATGTATTTACTTGGTGCTAGTGAAGCATTTCAAAAGTCAAATAAATCTGATATTGGAATTTGGCACTTTTGGCACAATTTGTACTGCGTAGACCTAATATCTTAAATTATACAACTGATATCACAAAATAAGAGATAAAACCCTAGAGATCATCTAATCCAATCCCCTCATTCTATAGAGGCCAGAGAGGTTACAGGACTTGCTTAGGTCACATTTCTACTTGGTATAGAAATAGTTATAACCTACAGTCCATTGATTACCAGTCAAGTGAATTTCTTCAAGAACTTTCAAAGTACTTTGCACATAATCTCACTGCCTGCTACAGTATTCTTTTATTCATACAAAAAAATAGCATTATCTGCTTTACTTTATAAACAGGCAATATGAGCCCTAGGATGGCAAAGGTTTACTCCTCACAATCATGGAATGAACAGTAGAGTTAATCAATGTTCAATTTTTCCCTACTTCAAATTTACTAGTTCTAATTGAAAATATAATTTTCAAGTTAGATTAAAAACATCCCAGCTCCTTGGAGAAATGGCTGATTTGAGGACAGGGGTGTGAAACATACAAGATGAACCTGGAGCATCTTATAGCACCACAAAGTAAGAAAGTGCTCAAAACAAAATAAACAAAAGAACCCCACAGTGACGACGTTGTATATGTTAAAGGAACACGGGAGCAAAACTGAAAAAGGTCCTAATGGCCAAAGCTCGAACAATTTGAATTTTTCCTTTTTCTTTCTTTCTTTTTTTTTTTGAGGCAGAGTCTCACTCTGTTGCCCCAGGTAGAGTTCAGTGGCATCATCATAGCTCACAACAAGCTCAAATTCCTAGGCTCAAGTGATTTTCCTGCCTTAACCTCCTGAGTAGTTGCTACAGGAGCACGCCACCATGCCCAGCTAATTTTTCTATTTTTTTTTCTTTCTGTAGAGACAGGGTCTCACTACGTTGCCCAGGCTGCTCTTGAAATCTTGGCCTCAAGTGATCCTCTTGTCTCAGCCTCCCAAAGTGCTAGGATTTCAGGCGCGAGACACTGTGCCCAGCCTGAGCAACAAATTTTAAAAAGTAGTATTGGATTATAAATTGAAGTATCAAGTAAATATCTGGGTCCATACTAATATAAATAAATGCGTGGATAAATAAATAGATGGGGGAGAAAGTACAAATCCCCAAGTAGAATTCCAAATAATTTATGCAGTTACTCTGCTCTTATCTTAATTGTGGGCTATGTGCAATGACTTCCTTCTAGTACCGTACAGAAACGGGGAAAAAAGGAGTAACTTGACAGTGGAAAAACCTGGCAAACACTATCTTATTAAGGCAGGTGATCAAGGTTAACTTCAACAGTCAACAGTGAAAAGTCACACTGATAGTAAATACCTTATATCTGACACTTTGTTGATACACAGAGATATACTGGCAGATACCCTTTATATGATATGAGAATGGCACTTTACCTCTATGGTCTTCCTCTCAAAAATACACTACCTGATTCTAGTATCATGAGGGACATCCTACAAAATACCCAACCGGTCACCCTTAAAACTGTCAAGGCCATGAAAAACAAGGACAGTCTGAGAAATGGTCACAACCAAGAAGAGCCTAAAGACACATGACTCCAAACATAATGTGGTATGCCGGATGGGACCCTGGGGCAGAAAAAGGACATTAGGGAAAACCAGAACTCTGAACGGTGTATGATGTCTAGTTACTAAGGATCCACATGGCTCACTAACTGTGACAGATGCACCACCCCAGCGTCAAAGGGTTAATAACAGGGGAGACTGGATGTGGGGTACACGGGAATTTTCTCTACTTCCTTTGCAATAATTCTGTAAACCCTAAACTGTTCGAAAAAGCTTATTTAAAAAAATGTTTCTGCCTTGGGTTTTGCTAAGGAAAAGAATGACTTAATTGTTTTGGATGAAAGCTGTCACCTGCTCCCACAGAGTGGGGCTTGTGTGTGTGTGTGTGTGTGTGGGGGGGCTGTCACGCTTTAGTCTGGCCGCCTTGTGGCAGTGCTCAAAGTTTACTCTCAGCCTGGGATATTTCTGTACATAGTTTAATAGAATTCATCATCATAATCTACATTATTTATTATCTATTAATAATTGGCTGTCATTGAAACACTACAAGATGATGAAATATAATCTAGAAAATATTTTTATAATAAGATCAAGTCAAACCACTGGAGGGACATGGGAGGAGGGGAGACAGAACAGGGAAAACTACCACTGAAGATTATGTGAGTGACAACTCTGAGTGCCCCAAAATACAGGGCACCACTATGCTCAGTTTCCATCTGACTATGTAATAAAGGGTCTTCTTTTCTAATATGAACACTCCTAATCTGTACATATTTTTAAAATATTTTTAAAGTCCCTGAAAGTCACAATTTGAACATCAAACCATCAAGCTGAAAATCAGTTTGTCAGCCCTTAAATAAGCTTATGATTCCCAAGTCCATTGCCACAAATCGAAGAAGTCACGCACACTTTCCAATGCTCACTGGAAAGATCATAAACTATAATAGATTGTGGCTTAAAGTTTATAAAATGACACACTAGGAATTTCTAACTTTACTCTTTCAGAACTGTAAGACAGAACCAATGTGTACAATAAATTGCAACTGGAGAAAGAGGACACATAAATAAATGTGTTACCTTTCGCTTCAGTGTGGGCTTTGTGAGAATTGGTGGCGAGCTTGACCGAGGGCTTTCTGGCTCTTCTTCTTCCTCACTGCTCTCACTGAAGCCCCTGAGGAGCGCCCTGTCGCCATCGCTGTAACGCCGGGGCAGTCTGTCGTTTCCTTCTGGCAGCCTGCACTGCAGAGCCTCAGGGCTCCTGCGCAGCGGCCCTCGCCACGGCTCACTCCCCTCGCTGAGTCTCCTCGTGGGAAGGTCTGGCTGCCCATCCTGGCTGGGCTGCTCCTGGGAGGCTCCTGAGTGCTCCTCACTTTCCGTGTACTGTTCTTGGGAGGTTTCCAATTTTTCCTCACATTCTCCATAGTGTTCCTGAGGAGTTGATGTTGTCTCTTCCAAGAGCAGTTTAGAATCTTTATCACCAAAACGTTCCTGGGTTTTCCTATTCTTCCTCCCCCAGCGGCCCCTCCGAGGTGGCTGACTGTTTGCGGGAAGACTGTCACGGGGAAGCACTTGTTTGTTCAAACGTGTAGAACTGACTGGAGCCATAACTTCTGATTTCTTTTCACTTTCTACTGAAGAATAAGAATCTTGTTCTTTGTCTTCCCGAGACACAGACTTTCCTACCTGATTTTAGAAAATGAAACAATGCTGGTTAATTTTTCAGTCTTATTTGGTTATATCTACCTATTCTGACCTTTTTAATACTGAGATAAGTAAATGAAACTGAGCTTTAAAAAGAAAATGAACAATTATTTAATAGCTAACGTGAATATTTCCTACATTTAGGCACTGTTTTAAAGCTTTATCGGTATTATTCATTTAATTCTCCCAACAATCATATGAAGTATTATCACTATATCCTCATTTTACATATGAGGTAACTGAAGCAAACACACACAAAAGTAAACAAGCTGCACCAGGTCATGCAATGGTAAATGGAGCAGCTGGGGCACTAGCCCAGGTGGTCTGGCTCCAGAGCTTGTGCTGTTAATAACAATGGGATACCATCTTCAATAAGCAAAGTGAACATTAATCTTCTTTTAAATGTTAAATGAGATTATTTATGAAATTTCTCAGAAATAAAAATTCATAAACATGGAAGATACAGATCTTGGGGCCTGGGCAACAGGAAGGAGGCATTGGAGAAATATGAAAGAAAATTTATGTAATTATGTATGACTTATTTTTATTCTGAATATTTAATCTCATTTTGAAAATTAAATTGCACTAAAGAGGGACATGAGATTTTTTTACGATTATCAAAGAAGGACATGGATATTTAAAGGATGAATCAATGCTTTAAAAAGAACCCAAATGGTATCACATGAAGAAAAATACTGAAAACTATATAATGCAACAGAGTCTATCATCAACCCTTTAATGGCTTAAAACATTTGTGTATCCATGGAACTTTTCAGCATTATTAGAAAACATAAATGTTCACAACATTTATTCCTTAATGTTCTATTTTAAGGGAAATGTATCTTCACTTTTAATAACTGTTAGATTTAGATTCAATTCAGATTCCTCAATTATTATACAGCTTAAAATTGAACTGCTTATTAGCACTCTGGTAAGAAATATTTAATCATAAGTAACACATTATAAGAAATTCCATGATCTCCCTAATGGTCCAAAGCTTAAAAATACACAAATAAACCAGATTCCGTCTTCCTGAAATTTCTACCATTGAAATAAAACTGAGATTCTCATGTGAATTTACTTTGTTGTTAAGATATCATAATACATATCATAAATACTCGTGTAAACCAAAAATTCATCTTCTGTCATCAAAACTAGAGACTATTCAAGCCCTTACACTGGTCTCCAATTCTCTTTCCCGGCACTGCAGCTCTTCGTTTTCTCCTTCCTCAGGCTCCTCTTCTTCTTCCTCTGAGACAACAGAGTTGGACACTATGACAGGCGTCCAGCGCAGACATTCCGGATCTACATCTACAGGCCGCAAATTCAGCTGAAGCTTTGCCATGTGATCCTGGATAAGTTTCTCCCGGCGGATAATCACAAATCTAGAACCAGAGAAAAGTTTATAGCAATCAACAAGGTACAGGATGTACATAAATGAATGAGGAGGTATAAGCCCTGGAAAAGCCTGAAGGAGACGATGTATGCTTCCAAGATGGCCTGCATGGGAAGATGAAATATGGAAACATGCCATCAGGTGAGAGAGCTAATAAATAAGAAGTTGGCCAAATGCTTCCCTCTCTCTACCACAGCCATGGGTTATTTTAACCATTTATTACCTCATTCTTTATCCTCTGATGTTTTGCTGCACTCTTTCCTACTCTCTGTTTAGCTCAAATGCCTCTTTTCTTTGTGAGCTTTTTTGGACCACTTCAGGCAAGGGTGAAATGTTTTTCCTTTCAGTCTATATTTCACTTTGTGCCATTTACATGGAAATTAATCATGGGCATATTTTACTTAATGTCATTGTTCCTTGAGTTGTTACTTCTTGTATTATGAAAGAGCTACCAATACTAGAAGATGAAATATTCAGTAGCGTATGTCCAAAAGTTAGGAGAAAGACCAGAAAAAGTTAAAAAATATATATACACAGTGAATCAAATCAAGTCTCATAGAAAGGAAAATGATGTCTCACCATCACCAAGTGATACCGCTTAATGCCCTTTCATCAATAATCTGACTGCCTGATCCAAAAACTTCCCCTTGATTTTCTTTCAAAGGTATGCAAAGGGATGTGATACTCACTGGTCACTACGGAAGTCCAGCATTCGTAGGTGGTGGAGTGTGGAAGTGATGTCTTGAGGGCAGATTCCGGTCAACTTGCTCAACTTCTTAATGCTGATTTGTTTGTCATTTTGGTGATAAAGGCACTCCAATATTACACTTTTCCAATAAGCCATGTAGGAAAGACGACCTAGATCGGATAATGGTTTCTCTGGAGACCCTGCTTGGCCTTCACGCTTTGATAACAAATAACCTAAAGAAACCCCCAAATCACAAATATGTCAGAGACCCTAAAAAAGTTTGATCCACCAAAATAGCAATCCCCTTTTCTACAACCAATCCAAGTATAATTTCAAAGGTCAATTACTTAAAAAAAAAAAAAAAAAAAAAGACTACTTTAAAACAAATTGGATGAGAGGTTACAGAATCTGCACGTACTAAAGATTAGGTAAGTATTATTTTGTCTACAGTTAATATAAATTACCTTGTTAAAATATTCAATTACAAAGAAATTAATTGGCCAACTAATATATACAAAAAATTAGCCGGGCATGGTGGCGAATGCCTGTAGTCCCAGCTACTTGGGGGGCTGAGGCAGGAGGATTGCTTGAGCCAGGAGTTTGAGGTTGCTGTGAGCTAGGCTGATGCCACGGCACTCATTCTAGCCTGGGCAACAAAGTGAGACCCTGTCTCAAAAAAAAAATAAATAAATAAAAAATAAAATATTCAATCTATTAAAAAATAGGACTTCTATTATACTAACAAGCTGCATTACTAAGATCAGGGTAACACTGCTCTTTAGTTCAAAGCACTATGGGAGGAACACCACCCTTGCTTTATTTGGACCACTAGATGGCAACTGTTACATCTAGATTGAGAAATACAAAAGAATGCCTTAATTTTTATGTAATCCTATTAAGACTGTGGTTCTTCTGTGAGCAAATTAGATGGTACTTTCTCACTTTAACCAAAGTTCTCCTCACAATTTTACCTATCTAATTCTTGGCGAGCAAGACTGCCCACACGCGTGCGAGTGTTACTGTGAGTGTATGGTGGTATCACTCTGTCCTCTTGTCTAGTATGTAATCTCTCAAGAACTGGAAAAGAAAGGCATAAATTCTAAGGGCAAAGAATTGAAAGCAGAGATGACAGAAAAATGTGGTATTTTTGGTTATTAAAGAAAACTTAAAAGCAGTCTCAGAATGGTAATCTGGAAAAATATGAGGAAAAGTAAACAAAAACAAATACTGTAAGCACATATACTGTTGTTTATATACCTCAAAAATACTAACCACCATAGATAAAAGATTTTCCCTAACTTTACTATTTAATGGCATATGTAACATGTCCAATCATGAGTTCTATTTCAAAATAGTGTATTAAAGGAAATAATCTGAGTTACGTCAATACTGTTAATCCAAAAAAGCCAGAAAATGTACAAAATAACCAGTAGCATATATTTTCAATAAAATATGGTAAGGAATATAGTTTAAAGCCAAGGAGAATAAACTTAAATTGGTCCAGATGAGAATTAACTTCTCAAGACTAGAATCAAAATCCTTAGTTTGAACAATTATTTCTGTACATATTCCCTTAAATATTTTACAGCAATAACTGAGGGAAAATACTCCCTGAAATCACTATTTTATAATTATTGTAACATTTATTGCAAACATACATTTAACTTTCTAAGCCAAGATTATCAATGTGTGAAACAAAACTCAAGTTCCACAATGATCTCTTTAGAACTGTTAGCTCTCACTTTTTAACTCAGATTAAATTCTTTCCTATATCATTCATTTTTAAAGATGTGTTGCATATTTTTAACCACTAAGTAGAGCCTAACTAAAAAATACACACATTTTTTTCAAATAATTGGGTAACCAAAATAGGTCAGGCACTGTACTTCTTTGTTAATACTAATTTTAGCTATATAATGTTTTTAAGTATTGTTAGTATTACTATATAAAATTAAGTTTCATTGTAAATAGACAGTTGCAAATTTAAGGTGCTTGTTGCAAATCACATAAAATTGTATTCAGTGTTGGCTGTTTAAAAATATTCCATGTCCGGCCGGGCGCGGTGGCTCACACTTGTAATCCTAGCACTCTGGGAGGCCGAAGCGGAAGGATCACTCAAGGTCAGGAGTTCAAAACTAGCCTGAGCAAGAGCGAGACCCCCGTCTCTACTAAAAACAGAAAGAAATTCATTGCCCAACTAAAAATATATGTTAAAAATTAGCCAGGCATGGTAACGCATGCCTGTAGTCCCAGCTACTCAGGGGGCTGAGGCAGGAGGATCGCTTGAGCCCAGGAGTTTGACGTTGCTGTGAGCTAGGCTGATGCCACGGCACTCTAGCCTGGGCAACAGAGTGAGACTCTGTCTCAAAAAAAATAAAAAAAATAAGAATATTCCATGTCCAATCAAAAGAAAAGGAACTTGTGGCTTTAGGTTTTAAAGATCCATACAATATGATAAAAGATACCAGCAGCCAACAAATCATCTACAAATCTTTAAAATCTACATATACAGAAAGTCCACAGGAAGAGATAATGACAAATTAAATTAATTCTTACTGAAATCGATGAGAAACCTGCCATAGCCCTTACGCTGGTATTGGGGAAGAATCATTATACAGGAAACATTGTACTTCTGTTGGCAGTGCTTTTCCTATGAGAAAATAGAATAGAAGCCAAGTTTTAAAACAACAGGCTGGTAAAACTGAATAGTAATGCTAATGCTAATTACTAAGAAACAGACCAACAGCCAAAACCACAGCCCTGGTCCTTTGGGAATAGCAGTGTATGTCAAGAAAAAATACTCCACTGGGAGAAGATGGGACAATGTTAAGTCACTGCCATTACCTACAAAGCAACCATCCCAGGAGAGTAAAAATATAAAGCGATGCCATCCAACATTATCTGCAACTCAAAAACAGTGTGTCAATCAACAGAGGAATCTGAGTGCCAAACAATGTGCAAAGCTACAAATGATGAACCAATATGGTACTACAGAAGTGAGAAGATCCATCAATTATTTCAGAGTTTTGTTTATTTCTTTCTCTGATGCTACACAGGGCAGTCCCACTCCCTATCAGCTGCACTTAACTTTACACAAAAGTCTTAAATTTGGGTACAAAGACATTATTATAAATTAGTCAAGATATTTTAAATCATATTTAGCTAATGAAGTAGAACCTACTTAAAGAACTCTAAATAAAGCTAGTACTTTTCACTTAACTGTATTATAGGCTTAGATTTTACCATGGCTTATTTAAATAAAAATAAATTGTTTTTTATTTACTGTTTGACTAGAAAAGAAACTCCCCCTGCCAAGCGAATGAAAGATTAAAGGAGGAGAAAGCATCCTTTAATAAAAATGGCTTCTTACTCTTATTTCTATGCCTAAAATTCAAATTAGGAAGAGAGGGTTTAAGCTGAGAAAGAACTCTGAGGTAATGACTGTTTATTTCACAAGTTCTATCTATTATCACCATGGGGATACAAGTCATTTAAAAACTTTTCCTTTGAGTATTGCCAGCAGTTCATGTTCCTAGGAGAATATAGGCTGCTGAATGTTACTAGGCATCTTCCAGCACTTGGTAAGTTTCTGAATGTTCCTTCTATTTTCCTTTCCAGAAAGGTGGATGACACCTGTAGTGCCGTCTAGTGAGAACCAACAAAGATTGTTTCAGATTTCCATATGAATTCAAACAAATTTTAAGCTGACATACTTACTTTAGAAAAGTAGCCAACAAGGTGGCAGCCCTTGACATCATTCTGTGTTAGAACATAAAAAAGAAATGGCTCCACATCATAATAGAGTGTTTTGTGGTCAAGAAACAACTTTGCCAAGAGACACAGGTTTTGACAATAAATGGTACTCACGTTCCCATCAACCTAGAGGGAAAAAACAGAACAAAATGGTCACTAGAGTGTCTCTTTAGTTCTAGAATAACACATATCAGTTCCAAGCATCTCTAGGTATCCACAGTCCTATGGAAGAGAAGCTGTCACAGTGACGAGAACACATTGGAACCTAGAAGTTATCCTGTGAAACAAATGGTAGTAATATGGTACCTGCTGTTTTAAGATAATCAAATACATAAAATAGTGTACAAAGCAGGAATAGCTAGATATGGTGGTGATAATCTGGCTTTAAAATAGCACTTTTTGCTTTTATAAAAAGATTAATCATAGAAATCCTTGGGATAGCAAGCTTAATTTTCAAAAGTATTTAATTCAACAAAAGAACTAAATGTAATCTTGCTAAAACACACTTATTAGGAAAAACAAGATATAACTGTAACCTATTCTCCACAGCAGCCTAAAACAATGTAGTCTGACTGCCATGATCAGGTTTACCCCCAAATAAAGCTACTTGAGGGAGTATTAACTAGTGCCAAGCAGCAGCACCAAGTATGTTTCCTAGGTAAGAACCTGGCAAATGACACTCAAGTTGGCCAAGCTCAGGAGCACTACTCTCTACTGCTCCTGACAGCCCTGTGTCCTTGGAGTTGCTAGAGCTTTCTCTTTTATGAAAAATGCCAACAGATGTCCGTATTAGCTCCTAAGACACTGTCTGGCATACTAAGTGAATTCCTCAACAATCTAAGTAATTTAATGTTACTTTTTAAAATACTCACCAATATATGCTTAAGTTGAGAAGCAATTTGCTTTTGGGTGTTCTGAAACAGTACTGTATACCACACCCACCCCCTTCTCCCAAGGTGAAGAGCTCCTCTATTGATCAGCTAAAATAAAGTCTTAGGGAAGACCAGGAAAGTGAGAGACTGAATGGACCTGACAATCTGAAATTCTATTGTTGTAGTAATTAACATGGAACATAGCAACTAATTAATACTTGGCACTCGAACCACAGAACTCAGGATCAAGAAATTAAGGACCACTACTAACAGGAGCACAGAATCACAGACATAGCAAAAGTCATATCATCATAAGATTTACTAAATTAAACACATCTCTGAGACATTCCTTTTAAATAAATAGAATTCCTTTCATTTAAATGCCATATTTCATAGATTCTAAGATGTACTTTTATCACATCTTAACATATACAAAATCATTAAATAACCAAATGAAGTTTTAAAAAACTATAATCAGCAATACTTTTTTCTTTTTAATGGTACATAAAATAGTAAGGCATATTATAATTGATGTCTTTGATTCAATGAAATACGGAATAATTTATTTTGCAGTCAAGTTTGTGAACTTGGTACCATTGGCATGGTCTAAGTCTGCTTCTCATAAAGCTGATTATCTGATTCAATAGCTGAGCACACAACAATAAAATAACATTCCCCCCCAACAATTTGCATCATTAGATGCAGTACAGGTGGCACTGTTTTTGAAATGGATAGGATGGCAACTACTAAACATCTACCTTACCTCAAAGACAGAAATATTATTCTTTCGGTAAATCTCATTGGCAGGAGGATGGAACCAACCACATTTCTTCATGTGCTGCTGTAGAATAGTTCTACTTTTCATGTATTTTAGACAGAATTCACAAAGATATAATTTGGGCAGCCTGTAAATAATAAACAAAAAAAGACGGAGCTTTATATTTTATAAGACTTCAAACTTTCCCAACTATTATATTTTCTGCCTCTCCTTTTACTACCCAGGCAAAAAACATAGAGAATGTATCATTATCTCCACTAATGAATAAAAGAAAGGAAAATACCCCAAACGAATTTAGATACCTGTTAGATTAATAAATAATAATTCCCAGTCTTTCAAGCTACCAAATGATAGACACAAAAATGTCACATTCCCTCCCTGAAAATCTCCAATAAACAGAAAATAAAGTCTACCTTCAGAACACACTAATAAGAAGTATTTTGTCAAGCTATACATTATTCTTCCTTTATTTTTTATTTGTTCATTCATTCATTAATTTTAGAAAATAAAAATTTGTTGAATACTTACCATGTGTCAGGCCTTGTGCTAGGTACACTGAGTATACAATGCTGAATAAAATGGACATACAGTGTACTCTTCAAAGACAGACTCTGTATATGTTTTTAAGTATGAAATTCTAACACTGAATATGTCTTGGCGGGTTAGAGCACACTATACTACCTTATTCCTTCTACCCCTGAAATCCTGGCTCACCATGTGAAATCATGTAAGTCAAAACTATTACTCAACAAGTAAAATAATGACTCAAATTATTATTTCAGATGTTCTAAGTTGTTAATTTGTATTTATTCAATAGTCTTGCTATTTTAACGGTAGTTTAACAGGACGTCTTCCTCATAATGTCCCTTTTATGAGGACTTAGACAATAAAATTAAGTGATTAGACCAGTTCATAAGGTAATGGAAGGAACATAACCTAAATTAAACATCAGTGGCTTTTATACCTGTTTTAGTTTGAATCCATAAGACCACATGGCCCTTCTGTTAGAACATACACACCCCCTGTACCCTCAGCACAGAGTTGGCTTCCCTCTATCGTGAACTATAACCAGTACTGCCATGCGTTGGTAATATGAGATCTGACACAATCATTAAAACTGCATATGCAAAAATACTACATGGTATTTGACAAAAATGATAAAACATATTCAAATAAACTTCTGTATCTTTTCTCATAATTATATACTGAGTGGAAGGAAATAAACTCAATTTAGTTGCTATCAATTTGGACATTTATGCTTAAAAGATTACCCTAGAATTCAAGAAAATCGTATTTGCTAAACAGATTAACACACACAAAAAATGTTTGATTTGTTAAAGAGTAAAGACCACATCTACTTTTTCAAGTTCCTACTGTGGAAGCAGCTTTTGAAACACAATTATAACTTATCTGAAAACACCTAACATTGTACTAAAGTTTTTTTAAGGTATATTTATAAAACACTAGTCCTGTATGCACTAAGGATTTCATACTCAAATAAGGGTGGGTTAGGGTGTGTGATTTTTTTTTTCTGCTTGGGGATTCACAATGTGCTTTAATTCTTCTCATATAACCTCAATCTTATTTTTAAAACTGCCATTCAGCAAACTGAATATAGCTTCCAAGGCACTGTTGTGGTGTAATATTTTTAAATGTCTACAATATACAATATTGTTTTTCAAAATCTCTAATATTAGCCACATTAATACAACCTGAAATTACATCACTAGTGCAAGCATTCCAAAATAAAGTACTGAGTGAAACAATGACTGACACAAATTAAAGTCAAGAAGCAGGAGGCAAGAGCACGGAAAGAGATGAACCTAGGCTACTCTGCATTTCCTTTGCATCCTGCCTCAAACCCACTGTCCAGAGGAGGAATGGTGAGATAAATAGCTTCTTCCTTCTTTACCATGAAAGCTACAAATCTCAAAATGGTGCCAATTATAAACTCCATCATCTAATACAGGCACTAAAGCTATGAACTACGTTTTATTTATTTATTTATTTTTTTGGAGACAGGGTCTTGCTCTGTCATCCAGCTAGATTGTAGTGGCGTCAGCCTAGCTCACAGCAACCTCAAACTCCTGGGCTCAAGTGATTCTCCCATCTCAGCCTCCTGAGTAACTGGGACCATAGGCATGCATAATCACGCCTGGCTAATTTTTCTATTTTTTGTAGAGAAGGGGTCTCACTCTTGTTCAAGCTGGTATTGAACTCCTGATCTCAAGTGAGCCCCCCACCTTCACCTCCCAGAGTGCTAGGATTATAGGTGTAAGCCAGCATGTCTGGCCTAAAGTCAGTCTTATAGATGACCCACAACTGCCAGACTACCTGCCTGAATATCTGGATTTTGAATAATTTCTTCTTAAAATGAAGGCAGAGGAATGAGTTCTCCCAGGGTAAATACAATGGATGGCACGCCTCTCCTTAACTATTCTATTACTTATCTTTATTTATCTGTGCTAAATTCTCAATGAGCAATTTTAACTTGTCACAACATGAAGATACAGAAATAAAACAACCTGAGTATAGTTTCACTATGAGGGCTAAATATTAACTAAATATTATGTGAATCTGAGAAACCCAAGTGAAATTCTGTGCTTTTTAAAGTATTAGAAAAGAAAAATGAAAGAAAAAAAGAAATAGTGACAGACCACTAAGCTTTCCAAATTATGGTAAAGATAAATGCCAACTTTAAGAGCGTCCGATCCAACTATTAGATCTCAGTACAGAGACATGAAAATAAAGTACATTTATGTTAATTAGCTAGATTTAGTCATTCTACAATGTCTATATATTTCAAAACACGTTATACATAATAGATACATACAATTTTATCTGTCAATTAAAAAATAATAAATATACAATAAGTTCTAATTATTTTTCTGGAGGAAAGGAGAAAAGGAAGAAGAAAAGAAGGGAGGGAGGGACAGAGGAAGGGAGGGAGAAAGGAGAAAAGAAAAAAGAAAAAAGAAAACTTTATTTCCTAAGGCCTATAAGAAAAGACCAAATCTTTTTAAAGCTCTAGCAGTAACCCAGTTGCTCAAGAAAACATCAGAAGAAATGAAATCTCTGAGAAAATTACTGCCATCTCATGAGTAAATTATGAACTCATGCCATTTCCTTAGAATAACAAGATCCATGGCATCTTATTGATGATTTAAGAAAAAAAAATTTTAGTTAACCTTATATGAAAAACAATAAAGTAAAAGCAAGCATTATGATTCATGTTATTCTAATCTAGTTCTTGCTCAAAAAGATTTCAAAAGTCCCTTACTTTATTAGAACCAAGCCCACTGGGATGACATTGTTAATCTAAAGGGAATCATCTGAAAAAGCTCCTGGTAAAACATTTCTTTTTAGTAATAGCATAAATAGCTGCAGTTCTCTCATTGAAAAAGCGTATCATATAGAAAGAACATTAGACTACATGAAATGAAATGTAGTTATGGGAGATTATGAATACTCCTAGCCCTAGAGAATATTGCTAGGGGCTGCTTTTGGTGGCCTTGTTCCTAACAACAACTATGTCTTGACTATCAAATGGGTAGCTGTATGGTCATCGTGATCAGCTACATCATGGGGTGTTGCCTGCGTACTTGAAGTTTACTTGAAAGTCTGCCACCATGCTGACACCTCAGCCTGGAAAATGAGGGCTGGGCTGCAGCAGGTATGCTTCCCCTATTTCCAGGGTGATGTAAACATTCTTCTCAGGAATTCCTATAGTACCTTCTAGCTTTTGAACACTGGCCAACATAGTGGCAGTTTGTGTGGCCTTTATAATAGGTCAACTTGTAGTAAAATTTTAATATAACAATAAAAATTATACCAAATATTACTTATATCAAAGATTATGGCAAAAGCCAAGTGAAATAAATCTAAATACCCATGCTACATGGAGTAGCACAAAATTTACGGCTATATGGTAAGAGAAGTGAGCTTAATCTGGTCTGCCACTTACAAGCTGTAAGTCTTTTCTTGTTTTTTGAGACAGAGTCTCACTCTGTTGCCCAGGCTAGAGTGAGTGCCGTGGCGTCAGCCTCGCTCACAGCAACCTCACACTCCTGGGCTCAAGCGATCCTTCTGCCCCAGCCTCCCGAGTAGTTGGACTACAGGCATGCGCCACCATGCCCGGCTAATTTTTCTCTATATATTTTTAGTTGTCCAGCTAATTTCTTTCTATTTTTAGTAGAGACGGGGTCTTGCTCTTGCTCAAGCTGGTTTCGAACTCCTGATCTTGAGCAATTCTCCTGCTTCAGCCTCCCAGAGTGCCAAGATTACATGCGTGAGACACCGCGCCCGGCCACAAACTGTATGTCTTGAATGCATTTGCTAGGCCCTGGTCTGTAAAACGGTGATAGTAATATCTACCTCACAGAATTATTCCATGTATGCTCAGTCCAGTACCAAGCTCAATGAACAGAGATTACAGCTGCTATTATTTATGATTATTACTGTTATTCTTTCATCCATTTTACATAATCATTTAATAGCTGAAGGCATTCAAGATTCTATTTGGTTTCTTCTTCAACAACTGGGATTATGAGAATAATCCAACCTGGTCCTAGTGATAATATCATAATCTATGTGTTAAATCAAGTAACAAAGAGAATCAAAGGGCAGAGGAGGCTTCCTGCATTACTTTATTACATAGGAATCTGCCTTGTTAGGATCTCATAGGAAAGAAGTTATAATGAAGCTAAACTCTAAGCAGCTCAGGAGCAGAGGTATCCCATGATCACAGTTTCTTTTGCCCTCAGCCCATCTAAGTCATGTTTTTAATGGCAGGGGTAGGGTTCTCTATGAGCCTGTCTCTCCAAGGTGTGGACACCACATGGCCCTGTTGGAAGAGCTTATGGTTTAAACTCTGTTTCACATTCTTCAATGTCTGAGACTTAATCAGACTGCTCCAAATGAAACAGTATTACTGCTTCATTGTTTTTGTTTTGTTTTTTCAAGTCAGCGATGCAAGATTACTTAATACACCATGCACACACAAATATCTGAATATTATGGGACACTTCCTACAGCATAAACTCATTTAAATAGATATGTGTAGTTTCAAAACATTTAAGAGAACTTTGAATATATAGATAAAAGAAAGTCATAGTTACTACAGAATCTACTAAATTACAGAGTATTTTCTAATGGAAAACTGAAAGAATCCTCCACAATGGATAAGGAAATGTATAGGAAATGTCTAAAACTCTGCTTAAGGAAGGAAATGAAATTTATAGTTCCCATCCTACTCCTGCTTCTACTATGATCCCTGTTATACTTTTTGGTGCCTTCTTTTCTGCTGGCACTGCTTACTCCCTCACTGGTAACCAGGTTCCCTCACACCTGGTTCTAGTGACAATCTCATCAAAACAGAAGCAACATTTTCAAGAAATACTTTCAATATCTTAAAAGACCACAGTTCATGGTTCCATTCTCATCATTCTCCACAAAGTGAGTGCTGAGGCTGGCTCTCTAGTTCCATTCTTGAATCTATTAATTTCCTTTCCTCCTTGAGTAGAAGAGACAAGGGCCCTGTGGTTTCCGTCTATGTGTACCACAATCCCTGGAACAGTGGACAGACAGCTTGAATAGCTTTCTCATGATTTGGACAGTTTGCAAAAAGCTCACTAAAAAAATGATCAAATAATGTTATTTTAAGCCTGATGAAGAAAATTAATTCCTCAGCATATTTCTTCTTGATCGTACAAGATCTTAGCTATCCAAAACTTCTGAGAAATGAGTTACCTTGAACACCTAAGTTGTATAGGTAGTTGAGAAATTTCCTTCTTTCTTTCAGTACATATGTAAATATCATGTAAATATATAATAACATAGAAATAAATATAATTTAAACTTCTCTTAAAGTCAGATTAATTGTTGCTATTCCCTGATACAGAGTGCTGCCTTAAAGACATACACAGTGTTTGGCACTAACTGACCCTACAGTAAATGGCACTCATTGGTTTCTTGGAGTTTTGTTTCTTCCTCTTTTTTCGTTAGCTATTACTTCACGGTGCTCGATATCTATAATGGCATCCTTACCTCTATTTTTCTACTTCTGCTACAGACTTGTAAACCAGATAAGCAGTTATTACATTGCATGGAAGTAAGACAAATAAAAAGACACTGAGTTTTACAGGATGGCCCTTCTGATAACTGTGCTGGCTTACTCCCAGCTTCTTGGAAATAATCCACATTAAAGCACTATACTTCTTGTAGAGCACTAAATAAATGCTGTCATAATTAATTTTGCTTATGTTTTAGATAGGCAATGTTACTAGATAGGTAAAAGTTATATGATGAGAATACTTTGACCATGTGTTTAATCCACAAAGCACCATATTTTATTACTCCTTACAACATCCTGCTAGATGGAAAACTAAGGCATAAGTAGTTTACAGATTAGAAAGCACTAATGTGACTGTTGTACTTCAAATAAACCATCGTTTAATTTTTGATCACATCTTATTTCATCTGTTTTAATTTCAACCCTAAAGAAAAAAATATAACTGACACTGAACACTTATCAGTCTCTAAGTGATTAACATGTTTTAACTCATTTAATGTTCATAATAACCCTATGAAGTAGGCACTACTAGTAGCCCCATTTTACAGATGAGGAAAGGCAGGCACAGAGTAGTTGGGTAACTTCTATCTAATATTACACAGTTTATAAATTTTGGAGCTGAGTCATGAAACCAAATTGGCTCCACCAAGCATGCTGCCTTATCCCAAAAAGCTGGTGAGTGATCAATTTTTATATCTGGAAACCCAAGCTATTTAATTGCAGTTTTATACCATTTATACAATTATTCCTTGGAAAACAAACCATTCACTAAGTTTGTTAAATTATAAAAATTCAGATCAAAGGCTACTCAAGTAAAACGTTATTTTAACTTATATACATGGTTCTTTTGCCTTTAAAAAAAATTATTAGTGTAAGGAGTGAAGACATTCCCCTTTTCTTCTGACCATGTGTCAGGTTTCTAATCTTAACAGCTTTTGGACAGGTTACAGAAGAGAAAATCTAAAGTCAACTGGGATTAAGTGGCTGCCAAAGTATACTGCTATTTTGGACATTTAAAAGCCCCCAGTTTTCTCAGATGTACATGTAAAAAGATAAACTGGAGTAAACATCTTCAAGATCCTTCTTGTTCAAGGGTTTTAAGGATCTAAAAACAGAAGGTAAAGGGTCTCTCAAAACATACCTTGAGTATTCTTGAGGATACGGGGAGGAGTACCAGGTGTGAATTTCATACTTCCCAAATTCAATGATGGAAGGACAACGGACTTGTGGGTCAGGGGGACCAGTCACTCCAACTTTCTGTGCAGTCAAGAAATACATTGAAAAGTTAGCTAAATTAGATACACTGAGATAACAAGGGACTCTGAATCTAAATGTCACCTTGAGTCCCAGGATTCCATAGGAGAACAACAACAACAAAAAAGCCAGGAACAAGCTAAAAAGTTTACTTGAAATAAGCTATCTTATTCTTTAAATAGAGGACCCAAATAAAGAATAAAAATGCTATTAAATCTTAGAACCAAATGCAGTTGGTATCATCGCACTTTCTATATATAATAATGCTGACAACATTTTCCTCAACTAAACTCACTCAATTACTTAGTTATTAAATAGAAACTGCTGGCACTTAGTGATATAATATTTTCAAAAGTATGCGTTGGGGGGAACACTGCAAAGTCATACATATGTCACCTCAGCTGACAACAAAGGAAATGACCTACTGAACATGTAAACACATGTAGAAAAGGATAATTTTATGGTTTAGGAGAGTAGATGTTCAAGAACAGTATAAAAAGAATAGGACAAAACAAATATCAAGAGAGTCTTCATTTCACATTATACCTAAAATTCCCTTTATTAGTTCTGCACAGATTTGACCTAAGGATACTTTGTTTTACACAGACTATCCTTTTTTTTTCTACCTTCTGTTTATAATGAAAACAATCTCTATGCCCTTTATCCCTGCAATAATCTGAACAACTATACTGAAAAAAAGAATAAATTTTTTTTTATATATATTTTATTTTATTTTATTTTTTTTAAGACTAGTCAAGTGCAGTAGTGAGGAGGGGGGAAAGTAGTAGAACAAGGAGTTCAATCTGTAACTGACTGTGAACAATCACGTGAGATAACTCACTACCTTCGGACCAGCCAAGAATAAATTTTTAAGCTTTTATGACTTGCTTGACTTCCATATCAGCAATTCAAACATAAGCCATTGCTAAAGACAACAAAGACTGGGTTTTAAAACCTTAAATTCAAGGGCAATTTGTTTTGCTTTGTACCCAATCTAGCAAGATTCATATATACATATGTGTGAGTGTGTGTCTCTGTGTGTTGTCACCGATGCTCCATGAATATTAACTGACAAAACTAGAATTTCCTAATCAAATACAAGTATTAATAACTCGTTATGAAAAGAAAGAACCACCAAAGTTATCTTTCAATTTTATGCTTTAAAGACCACTAAGAGATTATTATAAGTCCCCTGTTGGAGCCTACAGATACACACACATCTTATAACAAAACTAAAATGATCAGAGATTTTTATTCACTGGTTTTATATAAGTTAATCTGTAAGAAAGAAGTCTCTTCACTACAACTCATTTCAAAACTCTTCCTGGTCTTTCCACCGTTCTCTTTTATAAAAGGCTGAGGGATTTATCTCAGGTGTCACACTGGAATACAGCCAAGTGAAACCTCAAGCTCTTCCTTAGATGCCTCAAAACAAAGAACAAACATCTATTAATTAGATAAATTGTGTTGTAATACCAAGTGCTGGGGCTCCTCCAAATAAAAAAAAAAAAGTGAAGAAATACATAAAGCAGGGTTAAAATAAGATTTTTTTTCATTTCTCAAAACCAAAACAGAACTTTGTAAAAAGATTTTTAAAAAGCTGTTCTTTAAACTACATGCCAGAACCAAGTATTCTAGCTCATAAAGTATATCTTTTCATCTACTGTCACAGCTCAAAATAACAATAGCAGTATAGAAAAATTTCAGAATAATCAAACACCACAAATCAAATCTAACTTTCCGTGGCAAGAACCAAATAGGAAGCCCAAAAGCTGAAGACATGTACCTGCTGTGGCACTCCCTGTTGTTTGAGAGGTTTCCCATCAGCTGCCCACCGCTCTTCCAGGCGGATGCCTGATGTGAAAGTAGATACCCAGTTCCAGTACAATTGTTTGCACATCACCGCAACTAAGAGAGCCTGTACAGAACTGGGCTCGCGGCAGGTCCCCCTCTGCCCACACCACCCGACCTTCGCAGGCTCCTGCACATGCGCTCATCTAGTGCCCGCCACCACTCCCAACTCCCTGGAGCAGGCCTCCAGAGCGACGGTGCTCCTGCGTATGAGGTTTAGAAGTTAAGAAGATGCTTGTGCTACACAGGGAGAAAGCAACAGCTGCATCCACACCACTCACTAACCCAGTCCTGGCCAAAATCAAATGTTAATACCTCAATCACAAGGTCACATTTTCTAGGTCATTTTACTTTAACATTTTTGCCCAAATTCCTTTTTCATTAAACATGTGACTTTCCAAATCAGCAGGTATCTAATATAATAAAGGGCATAAAACTATATTTTTTAAACATTTAACTCAAGTCCTACAACTTCAACTCCCATTTTTATTTGAATATATCCAATTCTTTAAAAGATGACATATATTCCAGGTCACAATTGATCTTTTAATCAAGATAACTAAGAGGGACCACTAAACATACTAGTAACTGGGCAAAACCAAAAGAAAATTCTATAAATATGCCTACTAGAAATAAAACTCTTAGCTTACATTAAAGGACTTATCCAACTATAATTTCTAATATAAAAAATGCCACTCCTGACTCAACTCTGGATTTGGTAGAAAAGCCAAAATTATGTAAACAATTTACCAATTTATGTAACTACAGCCCTGCTTCTTTTCCCTATGCGGGCATTAGATAGCTACCTTCCACCTTCCCTTACCCTTCCCTATCAGGGAATGACATTCTGAGGTAACAGGAGAGGGTGGACGGCCCCTCTATAATCAGTATGAGACTGTGAAATGTGGGGAGAAGAGTTGTCTTTCTGGTTATTTGAACATTTTCTCACAGGAACACTAGAGTGAGCGATTCCATTCGTTTGGGATTAAAGTCACATGATGAAAGAGCTATGCAAGAATGAGTCTACATGCTCCAAAAGGGAGAGAGCATGGACTGAAGGAATAAAGACAGTCAGGTTTGTGGAGCAACAATGGTGCCACACCCTGAGCTTTGCACTCTTGTCTCATTTAATCCCCACAATCCATTCCTTAAAGTAGAAAACAGTAGACCCACTTTACAGATGGAAAAAACAAGACTGAGAGAGGTGAAGAGGCAAAAACACCAGTGTAGGAATAATAAGAGTGAAGCATAAAAACAGAAAAGAACAAAATGGGTAGAGGTCAGATAAGAAGTATAAGTAGCCCTCAATTAATTTCTCCTTAAATTCCAAAAGTTTGCACATTTTTAAAAACTGGAATATAGTTTTCCAAAGAAATGATTCTACAAGTCCACAAACTCTTATCCCAAACCCGTGGATTGGAGTAGAATGTGCTTTGAATTCTGAATCTTTCTGCTTTTAGAGAAGTATGATAGTACATACATGTGTATTAAATCAACAGCCCCAGCAGAATCTGGAGCAGTGCTCCATAATCAGGCACACTAATGTTTCTTTAGCAAAACATATGAATATGCACACCAAATGGGATAAGTAAAGCATTATTAACAGTCTCAAGTTAGTTCAGATCATGCTTTGGCAACAACTCAGTTGAGGTAAAGTGAAATCTTCCCGCAAAATGAGTTATAAAAAAATCTTTTTCATTCCACAAAGAAAATATACAGATGGCCCATAAGCACATGAAAAGAAGTTCAACATCATTAATCACTGTGGAAATGCAAATCAAACCACAATGAGATACTAGTTCATGCACATTAAGATGGTTATTATTTCAAAAAACAAAACAAAACACCAAAAAATATCAAGTGTTCGTGAGGACATGGAGAAATTGTAACCCTTGTCCTACTGCTGGTGGGAATGTAAAATGGTACAGGTGCTATGGAAAACAGTATTGTGGTTCTTCAAAAAATTAAACAGAATTACCACATGATCTAGCAAGTCCACTTCTAGGTATACATCCCAAAGAACTGAAAGCAGGTACCAGAACAGATACTCGTACACCAACACTCACAGCAGCATTATTCACAACAGCCAAAAGGTGGAAACAATCCAAGTGTCCCTTGATGACTAAATGGATAAACAAAATGTGGTATATATTTTCAGCCTTAAGAAAGTCCATTTTGACACATGCTATAATATGGATGAACCTAGAGGCATTATGCTAAGTAAAATAAGCCAGACATAAAAGGACAAATACTGTATAATTCCACTTATACGAGATCCTAGAATACTCAAATTAATAAAGACAGGAAATAAAATGGTGGTTGCTAGGTGGCTAGGTAGATGGACAGTTACTGTTTAACAAGCACAGAGTTTCAGTTTTGCAAGATGAAAAAGGTCTGGAGACAGGAGGTGGTGATGGTTGCACAACAATACGAATATATTCAATACCAGTGAACTGGGTACTTAAAAATGGTTAAAATGGTAAATGTTATGTTACATATATCTACCACAATAATTTATTTTTAAGTTTTCAGGACTCTAGATTTCAGAATTGTGGACAGAGAACTATGGCCTGTATGGAAAGTGATGCCAGCCAAGCCACAAAACCTCACAAGATAAACTACTTCCGCCCGCTCTCTCCTCCTAAACCCTCTGTTCTATAAGTATTTCCTTTTCCATCTCATTGCTGGTACTTTTACCACTAAATATTGATAATACAGAATTCTGTCCTCAGCCCTCTTATCTTTTCTCTCCAGAGGACTTATAATCTGGTGATCCCACCAGCTGTTCACTCTGCCCACGCCTTCCTTTCTCTCAGTGAGGCTTACACTCTGAGGTCTTTCAGTGTAACTCCATCCTTGCATGTATCTTTGATTTCTGTCCTTCTCTCCTGACTCAACAACAAAATCCCAAACCTCATTAAATTCAATTCTCAACATAATCCAAGCCATCACTCTCACATTTGAACATGGTTGGAGAAAAACACAGAATCACGCCAACTAGACTCTATTTATACTTCATAACCATGAACGGGCCCTATTCTAGGCACCTTCCCATTCTTCTAAAAGATAATTTCCTACTTTCTCCTGTCTCCTCCAGCCTCCAATACTTCTTACTCCATCTTCACTTTCAGCCAATGTTTTGTTTCCTACTC